GACATAGATTTGACTTGTGGGAAAGTTCATACTCGACCATGAGGGATCACCGACCACGATGTGTGCCAGACGTCTGTTCTGTTACAGGTATAGATCAGTTGTGTATGCCAAACTTCTGTTCCGTTACGGTTACAGACAGGTTTCTGATCACTTATATTAGTAAAAGTGTAATGTCTGTACCTGGCCAAATTGTACATAAGTGCCAAAAAAAACCACTTAATGTGGATGGAAAACATGACATTTAGGTGCACAAAACAGTAGAATTTCACCCCATGTATGAAGTAAAGTATATGAGTGAGGCTTTGAGGAACTGAGACTTTACATTGCAAGTATTCTGGGGCTGAGACCTGGTCTTTCTTACCAAAATGCAGAATTAACAAAATATAATAGCAAATGGTATACTCATCTACACACAGAGCTGCCATTGAGACTAACAGAAGGCTCTTTTTTTAATTTGTCATTTTCACTTCAAGCCTATAAAAGAAAATAGATAAGAAATTTAACTGATGCATTGCAACAAAGATAAAAGTGTCTCAGAAAGAAGCTGAAAGTTCTTTTCAGCACCAGAAAACTTTTAAAATAACTCTTCTTTCTGAGCATGATCTGAGGAGCTCAAAAACTGAGGTTGACTTGTCTAGGTTTCCTTCTCTCTTTCAGGTCTGAAAAGCATGAAGTCACTTCCCAGCTCACAGTTTTCTAAAAAGCAATAATTTGGAAACACATAACTGAGGCTGTTGAATGGGAATGTAGTATAGTCCAGAAAAGAGAACAGTCTCATGAGTTGGTGATGCTCAACCTTTCCCTGGTTCCATGTTACAACAGAAAGATCTGTTAGCAACCGCCTCCTACCTGGAATATTGTTTCCAGTTCCAGTTCAAGGTCTGTCTCAGGAGGCACTCCCAAACTTTATAAAGAACATTTATAAGTTGCACAGGATGTGGAAAGATGCTACAAGACACACTCAGATCTAAAAAACCTGTGTCACAGTAAGACACTAAAAATCTGTTAACTTTTTCCAAGAGGCGACTTTGGCCAGGCACTTATACAAGTATCTACTTGACGGTCAAGTTTTACTAGCTTGAATACAATCAGGCTAATTTTATTAACTTCAATGACATTATGCTTGATTACACCCTAAATCCTTCATCACCTTCTGCCTCTTGCCACACAAGTTCTAAGTTCCCATCTCCTTGCCTGGATTGCTCTAATCTATCCTCCAGGCTTCTCATCTCTTCCCTGCCCCCAGCTGCTGCTTTCCCATCCCCATTAGTTCCTCCCACCTTCCCATTCACAGCCTCCTTGCCCACCAGTTCAGCATCCCAATCCCAGCTGATAATACAAGTCTACTTAGCTCCCAGAGGCTCCCTGCTCTCTCTGTTCAAGTTTCATAGCTCAGAGGTGAAAGTTCTGAGAAAGTCTTGCTTAGCAGTGGGTTTAATCATGCCTAATGACCTACAATGTGGCCAAATATGAATGGATTTCCAAAAGGGTTTCAAAAAGTACATTCTTGATCAACCACCACCAAACTTCAAAGTGTGGGATAGTAAGAGATTTCCAAAAAAATATATTACTACAATTTTTTTTAACTTAGCAAGACATCAGATTTTTCCCTTGACCTGTTCTCACAGATTATCAAATTTGTTTGAAGTGCCCCTCCACAAAAAAATAAAATCAAATAAAATAAAAGAAAAAAAAGAAAAAAAAAGAAATCAATCTGAGACAGACACCTGACATAGGAAATTTCATCCTGAGGCCTAGCAAAGTTATAAGCAATTTAAACACAGTCTTAGGCTGAGTAGTACCAAATAGCCTTAATAAGATGTTGCGCTATCAGACCTACCTTTAATAGGTGAGTGAATAATCAATCCTAATTGTGTATTGCAAAAAGCAATGTTAAAAATGGCAATTATACACACAAGAAAAGGGCAATATATATATATATATAACTAAAACTTAAAAAACTGTGGGTATTTAGGATCTGTCTCATAATTAATTCCCATCTTATATTTGAAACCGTTACTCTTCATGGCCATTTAAACTGCCAAAAAGCAACTCCAAAACACTTGTCTTTATTTGGGAGAAACTCTGAAAAAAACCTAAGAATTAGAGTAATAGTTCTGACAGATATAATGGTCTAATTAAGAATCTTCTTTTTATGTGTACTTGTGGTTATAACATTGTATTTCTGTAATATTAGAATTCCAATAACTTCTAGCATCCTGACAACACTTACTGCTTCCCCAAAGGACAGATAGTCTGAGTTATAATGAGTACTGAACTTGTGCACACAGAAAAATCTCTTTCAAAGTCCATGGACATTTTACCTTTGCATGACAGTGAAAGCTCCAGCCCCAATTCTCATTAATATTAAGATCCTTTTATGCTATAGTAGTAAAGTAAAAAGGCCTTAAAGTGCATAGAACTATGTCCACATTGAAACTACTTTTTTACTACCAGAGTAGTGTAAGGAGACCTTAACATAAATGGGAATAAAGCCTTCAGACTCCAAAAGGCAGAATGCCATAAAGGTAATTTATGAATAATGAAGAGGAAACACAACATTTCCTAAATCTGTTCAAGATACTGGGTAATCTTTTTTCCCCTTAAAACTAACCAGAAAAAAAACAACCATAAGGAAAAATGCCTTATCCTCCTCAGGAATGATTTTCAACAAGTTTGAAAGCAGATTAAAAAAAAAAAAAATCTCTACAGGTTGCAATTCTGCTCCATGACAGAACAAGCTGTCTAGGAGAGATAGGCAGATATACTCCATGGGGAAGAAAACCTGCCATTAGGCTGATTCAAAAGCAGCCATGACTGTGCCCTAGGGTAAGAGCTCAGAGCTAAGATCACCAACTGCCTTAAACAAAATTACATTCATTGTAAGTATGGCATGAGTGAGTTTCAAGAAAAGTTCTGCAAAATAAATTCCCTTTGGTTTTATATATATTGAAGTAGGTCAATTCATACGCATTGGGAACCTGAGAACATTAGAAAACATGTAGTTAAGAGAAAGCTGCAATGAAAACTTGTTTATAGGTACAAGCATAGAGCAGCACCAAAGAGGGACCTGGAGATATTACTATGGTCAGTTTTCCAAGAGAACTGTACCCTCGACATTCACTTAACTTTGGAGTTCTTCTGAAAATTTGGCCCAGAATAGAAAATCTGGCCTAAATGGAAGCTGAACACTTTCATCGTTTCCAGACAAGCATGGCTGTGTGATACGTGGTGGCACAGACCCACCTGTGGCACCACACACCGCGCATTCAGGTGGTCTTATATGCAACACTGCTATTTGTCCCATGGGAAACATGCACCCCTGCATGGGGACACGGCCCTACTGTTCATATTATTATCCCCAGGCACTGAGAGGGCTAACCAACTTAAAAATATTTGTACCATCACACAGACAAGCACATGCTCCTTTTAGGTGAGGAATTTTTTTATGATTGAACAACATTAGAGCTTTCTACGTCAAGACTGCCATAATTTATAGTATTAGTTAACTACCAAGGATTTCCTATATTTGTGAAGTGAAAGAGGCATGGAGAGTCCTAAACCTTCCAAATATTTATTTAGGATATATAAGATCAGTGGGAACCATGCAACTAACCTTCCTAACACTGGATAACCCATTGAAAAGGCATTCCTCAATAAATGACTTACTTATCAGTGTTATTACAGTAAAGTGGAAGTGAAATTAAGGATTGGACATGGGCGCCGTTACGTCAAACTAAAGCATTAGGAATTTTACTACAATGTACACTATTCAGTAACTGAAAATTTTCTTAATGGCAGCACAATTATTTGCTATATCATCACACACCCAGTTTATAAACACAGTAGGCCGAGATTCACCCTTCTGAAGAATTTAAGTGTATTGAGCATTTAAATGAGTTTTCTATGGTATATAAGCCTTGAGCTTTTTCACACTGATTAAATAAATAATCCTTCCCCAACAAATCCTGTTCAAATTTAATGCTTCTTACCTTATCTTTATTTTCAGAGCCAGAAGCCTCAAGTTTGGTCCGAATCACAAATGGGGTTGATAATCTCAGGAGGACTCGTTCAAATGTGGCACTGATCTTCGGAGAAACTATGTCAAAGCAGTCCTGGAATTTCAATGTTTTGTGAACATCACATCTGAGCTGTTTCCTAAGACCTTCCCCAAGCTGGAGCACCAGCATGTTGGGATCAAACATCAGATGGAAGGGAAAAGCTCTGCAGAAGGTGCTGATGCTTATCCTCAGGTCTGAGGGGGACTGGGACGTTCCTAGTGGAACTGTTTTTGTGATATTTGCATTTTCACGTTCCTTGATAAGAAAAGTAAGACTGCTGCAGTTACCAGGGTTTGACCCCTCTGAGCACAATTTATCATTAGTGATTTGTTCCACTTCCACTTCCAAATGGTAAATCTTTTTTGCTGCCGCCTTTATCATCCCCATCATTGCAAATCCAACAATATGATGTGGGTGAAAGTACTGGAGCATAAGACTGCCTTCAGGAAGCTCTTTGCATAGGAAAGAAGGGGATTCCAGAGTGGCCTGCCTTCCAAATGAAGTTCTAATGTGCTCCAGCAAAGCATCAAAACCATTGAAGAAGTCCTGTAAGGTGCCACCTACAGCTCGAAGAACTCTTTCATTTTCATCAAAGCAGATATTGAAGAATTCCTCCCCAAATTTTTCTTGCATTTCTTCAAACTTCAAACCTATGAGGCAACAATAAACATATGTCATCAATGTGGTATAACAGTTAGACATTATTTTCTATTTTATGTCAGCAATGTTGTGTAACAGCTGCATAATATTTTCCACTTTAATTCTGTGTTTCCACAGGGGTTCCAGTCACCAGTATAGGGTTTCTGCCCTAGTCTCTTCTAAATTTCACCTGATGTTTCTAAGTCACCCTCTCCGTCCCATGCCTCGCTCCTTTTGGGCTGCCCTCTTGCTATTCATCTTCCTTCCTCACTCCTCTGTTCCACTTCATGTACCAGTGATAATTTGACAGTTTGGCTTTTTAACTTCTTCTCATCCTTACTGGAAACCAGAGAGCCCTGGAATCATCCCATGTTTTATATCTTACTCACTACCACATTATGCAACCATCCTTTGACCAAGGCCAGTAAAGCAGGACTTTTTTTAGAATCCATTACTACTGCTCTTGAACTGGACAATGGGGTCACTAATAATATTTGATATAGTATCTTCCCTTTCATTGCCTCTGAAATCCACTTTTTGTGCCTACCAACTTGAGGAATGAAAAATGTGGGACATGGAATCAAATGCACATTTTCCACCAAACTATCCCAAACCCTACAACTAAACAATCAGATATGCCTCTCCTGCAGTGGTTCTCAACTGAGGTGCTGGGTAGACCAGGAAGCAGCTGCAGAAAAAACCCCTCTGCCACAGCTCCTCCCAGCCTGCCTGGTATAACCTCTCCTGGAAACAGAGGCACGTGGAACAATCCTGTCTGGCTGCAGCTGAGTAACCAAGGCATAAGCCTTGGGCACCGACTATGGGAGGTCAATGGAATGGAGGGGTGGGGGGGCCCTCTCTCAACTTGTCACGTATGATTAGTATACCTCTGCCCTCTGTGCCCAGATCCAAACATGCAGGCATGTGTGGTTTGTGGCACTGCAAACATCTTTGTAGCAACACAAAACACACATGTTGTACATTAAACTGTGTGTGGTGCACTGCGGCAAAATTTGCTATTGGGATTTCCCAGTAGATATATTTTCCCTGATGTAGCAGTGTGAGGGGGACAACTTCAAGGCAATCCTCATAATTTTACAAGCATTCTGATTATAACAAATTTATCAATTTCCAGCTATAGAGTCTAATTATTGGGGTCATCTTATATTCAAATTAACACTGTATCTTTGTTGTTGGAAGAGATGGAAGAGTAAAAGAGTGGTTCTCACCTGGAGTGAAACCAAATTCACAAAAACTCTCTAAAAAGCCAAAATTCTCTAAAAAGCTTAAGAACCATTGTTCTACTGATTATATTTACTCTGTAGCCATGATGTAAGATAGTCTCAGACTCTTAAAATGTCTTCTTGTACACATATAAAGAGTTGTTGGAGAATAAAATAGAATATTTGCATTTCTCTGTGTTGCTTGAGGCTGAGAGCACATCCCAGTGGCTAATGGTTGGCCAGCAATGTGACTACTGGAAACAGATGTTAGATCTCCTTAAGCCCCCATCACAGACATCTAAGTCTTGATTTACAAAGATGACAAAGTGGATACAGGCAAAGAAAATGCCATCAATGCAAAGCTAGATCTCTGGGTGACAACGTATATCAAATGTTGTTTTGGCTTGACTGCATCTATTTTAAAAGAAAACTTGGATAATTCTATTTAAGATTACTACTGAACATCTTCATCTCTGCTATTTTGAGGATGCTCTTGTAAGCATAATTTGCATTTAAACACGGTATATCATGCTACACATATAATTTATAGAACTATAGGACAAGTCCCAGCTATGAGAGAAGAAAACAGTAAAAAAAAAAAAATCAGTATTCTTTTCATATGATTTACCAAGTGTACATCCAATAATTGTGTACAAAGGAAATAAAATAAACTAGGTCTTGTGTCTAAAAAACCGAACTCCAGTACATAAAAATGTATTACAGATAAGTGTAATATAAACCAGTTAAACTCATGAAAGCTAGTCCTAAATATCCCAATAGTAACGAAGAGAACAATCATTTATGCCCTCAGGGCATGAATCAGGTTATTATCATAACATACATTCATCATGCCTTAAGATAGCTTTGATATCATGCCTTAAGACAGTCAGTTGATTGCTAAAAATTTTCATACAGTTTACATGGATAAACTTTGAGCAACAGTGAAATTAACTGGTTTCATACATAACAGCATAATAGGGCACAGCAACATATTCTAACCTATTGTTTGCAGGAAGAAAAAAATTCTGATCATTTCAAGGAAGTTTCTGAATAAGTACCCATCTATAATTGTATATGTTTGTTATTTCTACAGAACCTTTTATCCAAGAATTCCAATGTGGCCTACAAGTGCTCTACAAACTTAACAAATTTCATGCAAGAATCCATTTTCCCATCAGTTTAAAAACCCATAACACAGCACAACAGTTCAGGACTGAACATGAAGAAAAATACTTTATGCAGGAGAATTAAGAAATAAATTTGAATAGGTATAATACTGTAACTAACTGCACTGCAATGTATCCATAAATCTAGGTTAGCAGTCTTACTATTTAAAAAAATTATCATCATGCAGAAGGTAGTGCAGGGTTGGGATCTTTAATCTTTCAATAAATGGTCAGAAATGTGGTTGTCTGTCTAATTGAAAAGAAAGCACAATACTGGCCAGTATCATGACTCAAAGGAAGCATCCCAGCTACTAGGTCACTATCACTTCTTCAAAACAGTCCTCTAACTTCATTCATCTAAGAGCTGGCTCCATGTAATGAGGGTTATTTTATGCAATTCCTTTCAGTGGCATGAGTACAGTATATGCCATTTTAGTCCTAAAATGGGCAGATTTACACCAACACAAAATGGAGTAATGTAGCAGTGCATCAGACATACAGAAACATAGAAATGGTCTAAATGGACCAGGCCGGTGGTCTACTCAGTCTTTTATACAAATGACCCATAGGAAGAAATTCTTCTTAATTCTCACAAGTTAAAAGCTTATGCCCTGAAACACTCCCTTCCAAAACTTTTTACTGTATTTCTTACTATTCTAACTGTAAATGATTTTATTATCCAAACCAACGTAAAAGAAAAACAATCCATTTTTCAGTCCTAACAGGTTCTTGGTCTTGGTAACATCAGCTAGCATGGAGTTCCACAGGCTGTGTGCGTATAGTGTTATAAAATATTTCTCTACTAGTTTTAATTTTACCACTTTTTCAGTTTCAGTAACAGAACAGACCAAAATAGAAGTAATACATCTAACTACTCTATAAAGTTAACAATTCTATATACGTTTCTTTTATCCTATCTTATCATCATCAACTTATCCCTTACCTTTTTGAAGAGTCCCACTCTTTTTAATCTCTTAAATGGTAGTGGCATATTTTTGCCTTTAGGCCTATGTACAGATTTAAGAAAAAAATATCAATTGCCACTGTTATGTTAAGTCAGATCAGATCAGTGGTCCATCTGCTAAGTCACTCTCTCCCAACAATGGCTGGTACCAGATGCTATAGAGAAATGTGTGAAATCTAATCAACAATTAAGCAAAAAAAACCCAACCCCCTCAACTTCCCCTTAACAATAACAGTTAGTAGTTGGTTTATACAAAATTATGAGGGCACTAAAATTCACCTAAATATTTTTTATTATGTACATAAAAATATGATTTTAAAGAAAATGCTCCTGAACTCTTTGCCTTAGTGAGATATGATTTACTAAATTGAGAATCCAATTATTTAATTGTTATATAAAACTATATACTCAAATGTTTAGAAGTTCAATTATATTGAGTATCTTGTGTTCTTTTTCTTGCCTTCTAATAATGGGCAAAGAACTCCAGGCTGCTTTTATTTATATTGTGCATTTTCACATGCCTCCATCATGTCTTCTCTCTGAACTGAAAATCTTTTCTAGCTCTTTTTGTAGGAAATTGTGTTCATTTTTTTTACCCTTTTTCTGACTATTCTGCTATAATATTTTTCCAAAGGGTGACCAAAATTGAAGGCAGTATTTAAGATGTGAGCTAACCCTCTGTTCAGTTAATGTCATTAGCATATTTTCAGTGCCATTCTCTCTCAAAGCTAACACTTTGATTTTCTCTTTGACCCACAGTTTCACATTGATATAACATTTTTGTTTAATGATTCACAATATCTTTCTGACTGGCTAACATTAATTACGCTGCAGTCCATCTGTATGTATGTACATGTCCACTGGGAATAAACTTGCAACTTTCTGCATGGACTTTCACGTGGCACACAGCTCTTAGGTCCTTCTGAAGAGTAATATCCTATTAGCACTAATTAGGCAGAACTCCTCATTGGTTTCAGTAGAAAAGTCTGATGAAAGAGAGAGAGAGAGATAATATAAACCAAAATCTTCCTCATATGCTTTCTAATCTAATCTAAAGAATTTAGCATTAGAACTTTGAGTGACTCCTCCACCCAGTCTTGCAGGTCATTAATCAGCATATTAGGTAATCCTCACCCTAGTTCATATCTTTGAAATACCACAGTTTTAATTTTCTTCCACTTTGAAAATGAATCTAAGCTGTTTTCACTGATCAGTTTTATATCTGGCAACAGTACCTCAGGGAATCAAATGCAGATTATATATTATTGGCACCTGTTGCCTTCATGATTCACTCTTTAAAGATAAATGGTTGAGCTATAATCTGCCCTGGCCTACTGCGTGATACTGGGAGAGACACTTTATCTGTGTGTTTTATTTGCCCCATCTGTACAGACAGAATGTAGATAGTAGCATTCCTTGTAAAGAGCTGCAGGGTTTACAGACAAAAAGTTATATTATTTTGCTGACTCCATCACAAAACTATTACAGCACAAAAATAAAAATATCAGAGAAGAGCAACAAGAAGAAGAGCCACAGAAAGAATTTCATACGAAGAAAGCTAGAGAGCGAGGCTAAGTATAGACAGTCAAAAAGCCCAAGGCTAAATCAATTCAGTCTTCACAGGTTAGTCAAGACTGCGTGGACTGAGCAATTGAACA